CGATGCCTTGGTAATATCCCTTCAGATTGGAGAGTGCCAACAACAAATTTGGGATTTAAAGACGAAACAAATTTGTCCCAAAATGTATATATTTCGTCACCCAAACTAATTACGACGAACATTTTTCGTCATCTGTTTTGTCGCCAAAGGGTCGTCGCTAAAGGGTCTTAGAGACGAAAAAAAAAATCGTCATTGAAAATGATAAATTTATGACGAATTTTTTTGTCTCCAATACACTTTGTTAGGAACATACTTGTAAGTAATTAGCGACAAAATATTTTGTCATTAAAGGAGAAATTAGAGACAACAGTATTTCGTCATAAATATAAGAAATAGAAACGAAATAATTTTGTCACGTTTAATATAAATAAAGACGAAAATTTTTTGTCAAAGAAGCTACCAATAGAGACAAAAACAAATTCATCATTAAAAACGATAAATTTGTGACGAATTTTTTTGTCTCCAATACACTCTGTTGGGAACATACTTGTAAGTAATTAGCGACAAAATATTTTGTCATTAAAGGAAGAAATTAGAGACAAAAGTATTTTGTCATAAATATAAGAAATAGAGACGAAATAATTTTGTCACGTTTAATATAAACGAAGACAGAAAAAAATTGTCAAAGAAGCTACCAATAGAGACGAAAACAAATTCATCATTAAAAATGATAAATTTGTGACGAATTTTTTTGTCTCCAATACACTCTGTTAGGAACATACTTGGAAGTAATTAGCAACAAAATATTTTGTCATTAAAGGAGAAATTAGAGACAAAAGTATTTTGTCATAAATGTAAGAAATGGAGACAAAATAATTTTGTCACGTTTAATATAAACGAAGACGAAAAATTTTTGTCAAAGAAGCTACTAATAGAGACAAAAACAAATTCATTATTAAAAATGATAAAATAATGTCAAAAAAAATTCGTCACACATTGAGGGTAATAGTGACAAAATGTGACAATATTTTTTGTCACGACAAATGCATTTAGTGACGAAATAAAAAATTCATGACAAAATTAATCATCCACCTAAGCTAAATAAGAGACAAAAAAACCTTCTTTAGGGATGAAAAATTTTGTCAATAATTCCATAATATTTTTTTCCACATTATATACCTATTTTATCAAAATCTAAATTTTAATTCAACAAATATGACCCTGTTCATGTTGAAACCTGTTGAATATAACAATTCCATCACAACTTAACCTAACTTGTTATCAACACATTTACGAATTAACAAAATGAAGATATCCATTCATCATTACAAATAATTTCATCCTAATATAATAAAATAGTGAAATATCCACAAAATATCCAAAAGTTATAACTTGTTCAATTCCACCAAAAATCCAACAATAACTAGTCCATCAAGTTTAACCATTCACAAGACAGATAAGCAACATAGAAAATATAGGTAAGGGATAGAACATCAACTTCGACATCTATATTTTCAACCATTGTCTCACCCCCAAGCCTTAAATTTAATGTTTGTTTTTCAATGCCCTTAACTATAAGCAATTGTCCAAAATAGTAGCCTAAAGTAAATTAGTCAATTGCAATAATAATGTGAAGATCACATAAATCTTCATAAAATATGCACCATGAAATTTTTTGAAGATTAGTCCCATATTAGTAGAATGTAATATGTATCCATCAAGAAATTAATATCAACGTGATCTCAGAGTAGGATTTTATCGAAGCATCAAAGTGCATCCACCATTAAAAAAAGAAAGCCGAAGAATGTTTGTAAGTGCATGTCGTACTTGCAATCCATTATTCTAACAACTGGTGGATCTGCATCTGGCGATAATATTACCTGCATTAGTAACAACAGAAATATAATCAAATAAACTCAAGCACAATGCCACATGAGAAGCTCAAAAGGCAAACACTTTCCACAACTGCACAAAATAAATATAAAAAAAATACAAAATAGTTAAACGTTTGACAAAACCATTGATTGGGGAAAATGAGCTCCAAGACAACGGCTACTGATAGCGAAATTACTAGAGTCAAAGAAGAGTATCACCTTGGGTGGAGCACTAAGAAAATCAAAAAACGGTGAAGGAGATCCTCAGCCTGACCGGATGGAAGTAAAAAATGCTCAGTATCTTAATAGAGATGAAGTTACGGAAGAACTAACGACCACAGATGTCAGAAAAGGGGAAAACCTAACAAAAGAGGAACACCTAAAATTGAGAGGTAAGATAATGGTTAAAAATAAGGCAAAGACCAAAAACCAAACTTCCAAAGCAATCCCTGTACAAGACCATGAAGGGTCAATTTCGCCTCGTTATCAACATAAATTTCCATTGGCTGAAAGGAAGAAATGTCACAGTAAAGCATATTAGGAGCCTTTCTGAGGGTAATGGAATCCAGCACGAAATGAATGATGGATGAACATCCCTTCAATTGAGATTCCGGTCCATTTGATGTCTCCTTGCAGATATTCTAACTCACAAGAAGCAAGTCCACTGTTGCTCAACATATATACTATTATGTAACCAAAAGGAGCCACAGGTAAGACATCCAGCATCAACCCCATTAAAAACCCACACTCAAGGCCTAAAGTAAACAAGAAAATAACTAGGGATGTGAACAAAAGAAAAAATAAGGTACCGAAGAACGAAGAAACTATCCCCACACATCAGACCTAAAGACCGATCTTTCTTCTGCCACTACCCATCCCCTATCACATTACATACTTAGGTAGAATATTGAATAATGGGCATAAACAAAATGCTTTTGTAGATGTACTTACAATATGTATATATTTATTGCTTTACATTTGTCACTTTGTTCAAATTATGCTAAAGACTAAACTATTTTTCTATTTTTGATATGGATCAATTGATAGTTTTATGAAGAACTTAAGTTTAGGTCAAGTAGTTGAGATCCTTGGGTTTCATTTTTTTTTTTTCAAACATTCAAGTGATTATACTCCTTGATTTCTAAGAAATAAATTGGGGGAGATTCTGAGTTTGAATTTATGGTGAAGCATCGAATGTTTATAAGTAGTAATTTAACTTACTACTAACTAATTAACTAACCCACTAATTTTGACACCCGGAAAAAAAAAATGTAATTTGATATTTTTAATTTTTTATTTTTAATATTAGTTTGGTGGTGTGTGTGATTTTGCAGCGGTTCCATTGCCATCTTCATCTTCATCACCTGGAATGGTAGCTATAGGGTAGGTGGGAAGCGATGGTGGGTATGGATCTGTGACTATGGAGAAAAGTTTTAGGGTAAGTTACACTATACTATACTACCCTCTAATCTAATACTAGTTACTGACTCCCTCACTGAATACAGGTTGCCGTCGTTATGTAGTTGGGCAGCCAGTGAACACAAAATCATGGTCTACTTATTGTCTTCCTCTCTCAACCTTTACAATTTCCTGGTTTGGCAAAAAGCCAACATGAAATTTGTACATCTAGTGTAGTTTATATGCATCATTAAAATAAAACTTTGTCTCTCCAAACAATTATAAAAGGAGAGACAACCCAAACATTTTCTTCACTTGAATCCTTCAAAACAGCTATTAAAAAAAGCCCATCTTCATCACCTGGAATGGTTGCTGTAGGGCAGGTGGGAAGCTATGGTGGGTATGGATCTGTGACTATGGAGAAACATTTTAGGGTAAGTTATACTATACTATACTACTCTCTAATCTAATACTAGTTACTGACTCACTCACTAAATACAAGTTGCCGTCGTTATATAGTTGGGCAGCCAGTGAACACAAAATCATGGTCTACTTATTGTCTTCCTCTCTCAACCTTTACAATTTCCTTGTTTGGCAAAAAGCCAACATGAAATTTGTACATCTAGTGTAGTTTATATGCATCATTAAAATAAAACTTTGTCTCTCCAAACAATTATAAAAGGAGAGACAACCTAAACATTTTCTTCACTTGAATCCTTCAAAACAGCTATCAAAAAAAGCCCTTTAGTTTTGTTGTTTGTTGTTGCAATAACACTAGAGGGCAAGGTTTAATAAACTTCATAAAGGTAACTCTTTTCTCTTTGAGCCAAACAACAAGGGTTACAGCCTATGCAAAGAAAATTTGAAAATAGAAGAACATTGATAATTAGAACATTGATAATCATTAAGGTATATTTGTTTTCTCACGTGGCTTCATTTTTATGCTTCAATGCAACCACCCTATGTACAAGGACCAGAAACATCCACCTTACAAGTTACATTGTGTCATACAAGGACTAGAAACATCCACCTTACAAGTTATATTGTGTCATCATTTTGAACTATATTGATGTTTTTTTTCAAGAATTTATGGCATACTAATGTAAGAGCAATTATTGCATACAAGGACGACAGTAGCTTTTTAATTTTATTTCTTTCTTCTCCTTTTCTTTTTATGTTCTTTGTTGATTCAAGTGCAACTTTAATATGTCAGGTTTTGATTCTTTTTGTGGTTGTCAATCAATCTTAGGATATGGAAACGATTAGCAATAGACTTCAAAAACTTTAGGCAATGTTTGGTTCCAAGCCCATTGTTATTTATCACAACATTATGTAGTTAAAGTTATCTAAATTGTAGTTCATTATTCAACACTTTCAAAAATATCTCTCTCACTAATGATATAGCGATACAAGACAATCTATATAAGTCAGTCAATATCATTGTGAAACCATAGCAATATGTATTGCAGTAGACTTGAACCGGAAACACTGATATTCTTTTCAACTTTATGTCATGGAACATGGTTAAGTATGATTTTCCTGGATTGATAAGCCAATCCAAAAGCAATCAGAATATTACACACATTTCTCTCTTATTCTGAATTTTATAGACCAGAAACTGGACATCAACTGCATTTTTTTAAAACTTATCTATTTTCTGCTTTACTTCATACTATATTCCAACACCATATAAACCTTCCTAACTGAATAGTCATATCTAATCTGTTCTAATTCAAGATTTCGGGACAACAACCCCAGAATCACCTGGTATGGGGGCGAAAAAGATTGGTTTATTCGGGGCAGCACCAATAGGATGCTTGCCGTCACAGAGAACACTAGCAGGGGGAGAATTGAGAGTGTGTTCTGAGATATACAACCAGGCTGCTCAGTTGATGAACTCCAAGCTCTCTTCTGCTATTACTTCCTACAACAATAGTCTCAATGACCCTAAAGCCAGGATTGTCTACATTGATATTTACAATTCTCTGCTTAATATCATTCTAAATCATGACAAATATGGTAATCCCCATATACTATCTGCTGCTTTCTCTCTAAAATGTTTGTGTTAATGTGGATTCTACTGTCTTTGTGTCTAATGGTAAGATAAATATGCAAGCGAAATCCATGCCTTTGTATCTAGTTAATATAAACACAAATGCACACAAGAATTTATTTGGCTATAAAGCTTCCACAATCCAAGAATGGTAGACGAATCTCACTATGCAAGTGGAGAATATAATGAGGTGGCTCTCTTATTACAACCTGTTTACAAATTCTCTGAAGACCATGAAATCTTGAAACCCCACAATAACCCATTATATATAAGGATCCAACTAATACTATAAGTGCAATTCAAATTAAATTCAAGACAAACCAATAAGAAACCACACAACAAAAGTATATATCATGCCTGGTTTGATCTAGTAATGTTTTTTTGTTTCCAAATTCCAACTAATGTTATTATATTTTTCAAATATTTCAGGGTTTTCTGTTGCGGATAAAGGGTGTTGTGGGACAGGGAATTTAGAGGTGAGCATACTGTGTAACAAATTGACTGACCCATGTCCAAATGACTCCGTGTATGTATTCTGGGACAGCTACCATCCCACAGAGAGGTGCTATAGAGTACTCGTCAATCAGGTCCTTCAGTCTAGTCTCAACAAATTCTTCTGATCCTGCCCCATTCGCCTCTCGTGATTTCCCTCAAATCAAATCTTCTCTCTTTACTTACTATCGAGTTGTCGAAATAATTGAAATATCACTCATATATAGTGTATGATCATTTCAGTATGTATTGTTTGTGCACATTCCTTAATTTATATCTTGGTACTGGTATGTAAGGTTTTTTATTGTGGGCTTAGTCAAGCTGGTTTTGACTGCAAGTGCGAGAGAGCTAGGCATGGATTGGATCCTCCAACAACATGTTGCATTTTTACATGGTTTTGTTAAGCTCCATGGCTTCTTCTTCTTGTGCTATTTTTTTTTTTTTTTAATGCATTTTAGTGCTTGTTCTGAGTATAATACCCTCATTGAATGCAAAGCTCAGTATTACACTTGCAAGTATTATAAATATTGGGTAATCGGTGAAGATGACTACTTCAATGTCATGTCAAATTGTTAACCATTTTCTAACTTTTCGATGCCATCGCCAAATTTTTGCTATGTTGCAGTGCAAAAATGCCAAAATTCATTTTCTCATCTTTTCAATCATTGACCTTGTTAGGTTTTTGTAATTAGCAATCTCGTTTGACAAAACTCGTTTCAGTCGTAATCTTATTCGCTCTTTTGTTTCAGTAAGGATATGAGTGTTTAGATGTAAATCTAAGCCGAATTGTACTTATATAGAGGAGTTTGTGATCTTTAGCCTTTCATATTTGCCACTTCACTGAATATGTACGGCGATTCTGTTTACTATAAAATGCGCCGCCATTTGTTGTTTTTAAAATAATTAAGATCTCAAAAAATTTCATTTAAAATGCCATGTAAAGGACTCAAAAAGTACCTTTTTTATTTTATTTTAAATGGAACCTTCGTTTTAATGAAGTACAACTAACAGTTGATCCATGTAATGCACGTGTTATTTTTTTTCAAAAAATATTTGATGATATGATATATGTTATAAAAGAATACTTTTAATTTTAATTATTTATTTTGATAATTTTGACATTATCGTTCTTTAAATTGTTATTTGAATACGTATATATATTAATTTTAGTTAAATTATTTGTATATTGTAGTTTTAAGTATTTTTGTTCATACTCACACACGCTTTATTGCTAATGATAATCAAAAGCATGAAAATTGAGAATTTAAAGTTGTGATTTTTTTTTATAAAGGAACTTTATCTACTGGGGGCGAAAAAGATTGGTTTATTCGGGGCAGCACCAATAGGATGCTTGCCGTCACAGAGAACACTAGCAGGGGGAGAATTGAGAGTGTGTTCTGAGATATACAACCAGGCTGCTCAGTTGATGAACTCCAAGCTCTCTTCTGCTATTACTTCCTACAACAATAGTCTCAATGACCCTAAAGCCAGGATTGTCTACATTGATATTTACAATTCTCTGCTTAATATCATTCTAAATCATGACAAATATGGTAATCCCCATATACTATCTGCTGCTTTCTCTCTAAAATGTTTGTGTTAATGTGGATTCTACTGTCTTTGTGTCTAATGGTAAGATAAATATGCAAGCGAAATCCATGCCTTTGTATCTAGTTAATATAAACACATATACACACAAGAATTTATTTGACTATAAAGCTTCCACAATCCAAGAATGGTAGACGAATCTCACTATGCAAGTGGAGAATATAATGAGGTGGCTCTCTTATTACAACCTGTTTACAAATTCTCTGAAGACCATGAAATCTTGAAACCCCACAATAACCCATTATATATAAGGATCCAACTAACACTATAAGTGCAATTCAAATTAAATTCAAGACAAACCAATAAGAAACCACACAACAGAAGTATATATCATGCCTGGTTTAATCTAGTAATGTTTTTTTGTTTCGAAATCCCAACTAGTGTTGTTTTATTTTTCAAATATTTCAGGGTTTTCTGTTGCGGATAAAGGGTGTTGTGGGACAGGGAATTTAGAGGTGAGCATACTGTGTAACAAATTGACTGACCCATGTCCAAATGACTCCGTGTATGTATTCTGGGACAGCTACCATCCCACAGAGAGGTGCTATAGAGTACTCGTCAATCAGGTCCTTCAGTCTAGTCTCAACAAATTCTTCTGATCCTGCCCCATTCGCCTCTCGTGATTTCCCTCAAATCAAATCTTCTCTCTTTACTTACTATCGAGTTGTCGAAATAATTGAAATATCACTCATATATAGTGTATGATCATTTCAGTATGTATTGTTTGTGCACATTCCTTAATTTATATCTTGGTACTGGTATGTAAGGTTTTTTATTGTGGGCTTAGTCAAGCTGGTTTTGACTGCAAGTGCGAGAGAGCTAGGCATGGATTGGATCCTCCAACAACATGTTGCATTTTTACATGGTTTTGTTAAGCTCCATGGCTTCTTCTTCTTGTGCTATTTTTTTTTTTTTTTAATGCATTTTAGTGCTTGTTCTGAGTATAATACCCTCATTGAATGCAAAGCTCAGTATTACACTTGCAAGTATTATAAATATTGGGTAAGCGATGAAGATGACTACTTCAATGTCATGTCAAATTGTTAACCATTTTCTAAATTTTCCATGCCATCGCCAAATTTTTGCTATGTTGCAGTGCAAAAATGCCAAAACTCATTTTCTCATCTTTTCAATCATTGACCTTGTTAGGTTTTTGTAATTAGCAATCTCGTTTGACAAAACTCGTTTCAGTCATAATCTTATTCGCTCTTTTGTTTCAGTAAGGATATGAGTGTTTAGATGTAAATCTAAGTCGAATTGTACTTATATAGAGGAGTTTGTGATCTTTAGCCTTTCATATTTGCCACTTCACTGAATATTTACGGCGATTCTGTTTACTATAAAATGCGCCGCCGTTTGCTGTTTTTAAAATAATTAAGATCTCAAAAAATTTCATTTAAAATGCCATGTAAAGGACTCAAAAAGTACCTTTTTTATTTTATTTTAAATGGAACCTTCGTTTTAATGAAGTACAACTAATAGTTGATCCATGTAATGCACGTGTTATTTTTTTTCAAAAAATATTTGATGATATGATATATGTTATAAAAGAATAGTTTTAATTTTAATTATTTATTTTGATAATTTTGACATTATCGTTCTTTAAATTGTTATTTGAATACGTATATATATTAATTTTAGTTAAATTATTTGTATATTTTGATAATTTTAGTTTTATCATATTATAAAAGTGTAATTATCATATAATAATTTTGTATGTTATATATTAAATTATAAAATAGTAAAATAAATACTCATTTTGATATTAAAAATGAGGGTAGTATTTAAGTGTGCAACCTATATGCAGCCTTATTTATAGCCATTGGATTAAAATATATTGATTTTTACCATTAAATTTTTTAATGTTAAAATAAGGCTACCTGTTCAACCGGTTACTTACGCATTTTTTTGAAAATTTATGTATTTTTGTGTTGTTCAAAATTTTTAGGAACAAACTTATGCGAATTTTGTGTTAATTTACACATTTTTGTGAGACAACTTACGTGAAATTGTGAAACTTTACGCATTTTTGTGAAATCAAAGTTTTCTCCAAGGAATTAATCATATTTGTGTTTATTTATGTATCTTTGTGAAATCATTTACGTGAGTTGTAAAAATTTACGTATTTTTGTGAAATCAAAGTTTTCTCTAATGACTTACTCGCATTTGTGTTCACTTACACATTTTTGTAAAATCATTTACGTGATTTGTGAAAATTTACTTATTTTTGTATTATTCTAAATTTTTGGAAACAAACTTATGCGTATTTTGTGATATCTTACACATTTTTGTAAAATCACTTATATGAGTTATGAAAACTTATGCATTTTTGTGAAATCAAAGTTTTCTCCAAAAACTTATTCGTATTTGTGTTCATTTACACATTTTTGTGAAATCACTTATTTGAATTGTGAAAACTTATATATTTTTATGTTGTTCTAAATTTTTGAGAACAAACTTCCGCGAATTTTGTGTTAACTTATACATTTTTGTGAAATCACTTACGTAAATTGTAAAAACTTACACATTTTTGTGAAATCAAAATTTTCTCCAACAACTTACTCGTATTTGTATTCACTTATGTATTTTTGTAAAATCACTTAAGTGAGTTATGAAAATTTACGCATTTTTGTGAAATTAAAATTTTCTCCAATTATTTACTCGTATTTGTGTTCACTTATGCATTTTTGGGAAATCACTTACGTTATTTGCGAAAATTTACATATTTTTGTGTTATTCTAAAATTTTGAAAACATATTTAGAACAAACTTTTGTTGTTTTGTGTTCACTTATGCATTTCTGTAAAATCACTTACATGATTTGTGAAACTCACACATTTTGTGTTGTTCTAAATTTTTGAAAACAAACTTACGCATTTTTGGAAAAACTTGTGCATTTTTGTGAAATCACTTACGTGATTTGTATAAACTTACACATATTTGTATTGTTCTAAATTTTTTAGAGCAAACTTACGCGTTTTGTGTTCACTTATGCATTTTTGTTAAATCACTTAGGTCATTTGTGAAAACATTTTGTATTGTTCTAAAATTTTGGAAACAAACTTTTCTATTTTTGTGAAAATTTATGCATTTTTATAAAATCACTTATTTGATTTGTGAAAACTTACGCATATTTGTGTTGTTCTAAATTTTTGAGAACAAACTTACATGTTTTTGTGTCCACTTTCGCATTTTTGTGAAATCACTTACATGATTTGTGAAAATTAAGCATATTAGTGTTGTTCTAAATTTTTAGAAATAAACTTACGCATTTTTTTTCTTCACTTACGCATTTCTGTAAAATCATTTGTATGATTTGTGAAAACTTAAGTATTTTGTGTTGTTCTAAATTTTTGAGAACAAACTTACCCTTTTTTGTGTTCACTTACTCATTTTTGTGAAATCACTTATGTGATTTTTTGTGAAAATTTATATATTTTATATTGTTCTAAATTTTTGGGAACAGACTTGTTCAGTTTTGTGCAAACTTACGCATTTTGTTGAAATCATTTACATGATTTGTGAAAACTTATGCATATCTGTGTTGTTCTAAATTTTTTAGAACAAACTTACATGTTTTTATGAAAACTTACGCCTTTTTTTGAAATCACTTACGTGATTTGTGAAAACTTACACATATTTGTTTTTTTTCTAAATTTTTAAAAACAAACTTACGCATTACACATTTTGTATTTTTCAAAATTTTTGGGAACGAACTTATGCATTTTTGTGAAATTATTTATGTGATTTGTAAAAACTTATGCGTATTTGTGTTGTTCTACATTTTTGGGAACAAACTTACATGTTTTTGTGAAAACTTACGTATTTTTATGAAATCACTTATGTGATTTGTGAAGTTTACGCGTATTTGTGTTGTTCTATATTTTTTGAAACAAATTTACGTATTTTTGTGTTCACTTGGGTGTTTTTGTGAAATTACTTACGTGATTTGTGAAAATTTACGTATTTTGTATTGTTTTAATTTTTTGGAAACAAACTAACGCGTTTTTATGTTTACTTATGCATTTTAGTGAAATCACTTACTTAATTTGTGAAAACTTACGCATTTTGTGTCGTTTTAAATATTTGGAAACAAACTTACGCATTTTTGTGAAAACTTACATATTTTTTTGAAATCAGTTACGCGAGTTGTGAAAACTTGCGCATTTTTGTGTTGTTCTAAATTTTTGAAAATAAATTTACTTATTTTTGTGAAAATTTACGTATTTTTATGAAAATACTTACACGGATATAATATAATTTATTATTCTAATATGTTTACCTGTAAGTTAGTTTACCTGCTTAGCAAGTCAACAGTGTATAAGTTCTAATACAAACTTATATAACCCAACCAATGAAAATGCATAAGGAATTATGTATGCCTTGCATATGGTATGTCAGGCATACCTAAGAATTGTCCTAAAAGTAATAGTTAAATATGAATAAGAATTAGTAATATAAAATTAAAAGTAATTTTAACTATTTAATTTTTCTTTTATATTCATTTGGAAATAAAAATATGTAAAAATAGAAATTATGTAAAATTTATTAAAAAAATTAAATATAAATATGTTGTATTTTGATTATCATATAATGATTTTATATGATATGTATGTATATATATATATATTAAATTATAATATTGTAAAATGAACACTCTTAATTAAATTAAAATATCAACTATATAAAAGAAATTCAACAATGACTAGTCAAGAAAGAATCACATAATAACATCTAAAACCAAAAAAAAAAAAATTAATAATGAAAACATCTAGACGCTGATATATCTCAGTGTATGAAGTGGTTAATCATCTGTAATATGATGTCAAAACATAAAAGAACTTATTATTCAATAATTAAAAAAATAATTCAATTAGTAAATCAAAACTTTAAAGGTTTCTTAAGAGTATCATTGCTATGTAAATTTTTCTTTCTGCGAGTTGTGATTATATAAAATAAGGTATGAAATGAAGTATAATTTCATATATAGGTAATGCTACAGATACCAAATTTTTTATCAAATGAATGACCAAATGTCTCACATAGAATCACTATCAAATTTAAACGACAAATCCATAATATAGAATAATATAGAATTTGTATTGGATATAGAATAATGCACGAGAAAATAAGAAGAAAAAAAAAAGATGAAGACAATTTAGCATTAAAAAGAAAATCCTAATATCCTTGAAAGATTTAAGAAGAAAAATATGAGGCGCAAAATTGGTATTGAATTTGTAAATTATTTCAATTTATCATGAAAAATATATAAAAATATTTAAATTTTTACGATTTAAAATTTTTGAATATTTATTTTAATTTTTTACTTATTAAATTTTTTAGATTATTTAAATTATTTAAATATTTATGATTTAAATTTTCGAGCGTCACTCACAACTTCCCGCTCGAGCGTCCAATCCCCCGCTCGAGCGGCCAACACTACACAGGAGATACTGGATGGGTGTATTCCTC